GCATCGCAACTAGTATTCAGCTATCAGTAGGAGGAGGCAGTAGTTGGCAGGAGACCGTACCCAGTATTATCGGAAACTGTGCCGTTTTCTGACTCAGAAGGGACCAGTAGGTGACTGGGGAAAAATGGCAGCGTACACCAGGGACTAGGGAAGTATAGGTATCAGTCTAACGACTAGCAGCGTCTGCAGCGTGCACCACACACAATCTACCAGCGGCCGGGAGAGAAGAGTACGGCGTGATGGGAGGGTAGCAGTGGCAACCCCCTTTCGCCCCATACTCTATCAGCAAGCTGCTACTCCTATCTCCTCATAATCTACCAGCTGTTTGCTACCCTCCTATCGCACCATGCTATCCATTCCTGAACGCTGGTAGACGCTGCTGGTCTCTAGACCAATACTCCCCTAGTAGCTGACGCTGCCACAAAGTATGAACGCACCCTTCAGAGAAAAAGGATTGCAGAGTAATCCAACAAGTGGTTCCATTCCCGTGGGTCTCGTTCGTTATTGTAGCTGAGCTCTTTATATGTTCAAAGACACGTTTCTTCAGTGGGAACGGAATGCCTCGGTCTTTCCAAATAGTCCTTCCGCGTCAATCACTTCTCATTATAAGTGACAGAAAATTACTAATACTCAAGTGATTTATGTTTCAGGAACGAGGAAGAGTACATGAAACTATTACTTCTGACAGAGAAATGCTTTGACAACCCGTATATGTGATATGTATAGTCATCAGTGTAGGTATAGCTGTTAACCTGGCTTGCAGGCATCGTTTGCGATGAGGTATATCTAATTCCTATCAAAGTACGTAATGGGGTCCAAATGTGAGTTTTTGTGTTTAGTCAACCCCTAGTAAAAGTTGGCAGACCCGTCGAAAAAGCCCTGAATTGATTTATTCAAATATTCCCAATGCACCCCATGTAAAAAGGTGTGTATATGAGAAAGGGGAGGGAAAGATGGGGTCCAAACCAGCATCACTTCAGGAATTTTCGTTTTTGGTGCGTTCAAACAATGCGTGCACTGAAAGTGGCCCTCATATGGTCCCATTCAGCCATAATTAATTTAATAATTTCATCGCATACCTTGCCTGTGAACCATTCAGATTTCTAAGTTGCTATTTGTGTGGTTGTGATCGCCGATGTTGTATGCATCTTCGCCAACAAGGGGAATGATGCGTTTTTTTCCAATTTGGGCACTTTGGATATCGATTTTACGCGCCATTTTTTTAATGTAGATTCGCTGATAGAAGGGCTAGAATTCCAAAGACATTCCAGCTTTAGCAATTCGATCTCGTATTTCGTAGGTGAACAGACTGGTCATTTATTCTTGTGATGAAGAGAATTATTTAGTTTTTTTTTCGCCAAATAAAAATATGTTCACGATTGTTCTTACATACAGAGGGGATTTACTGTTGTTAAAGCAAAGGCTAAAGGGAGAAGTCCTCACGCAGTGAGTGGAACCTATCCCAGGGCTCAGGCTCTTCTGCCGGAAATGAGTCAAATCCATTCGCTGTCCACCGGGAGACGGACAACACAACCGCAATTTGTCGCACTCACCGCGCGCGGCGTATCGTGGAGCGATGCGCGGCGAATCCTCGAAGTCCATCAGTTCGTCGATTGGAGCAGCGAATCTAAGAAGTTGAGCGGAGACAAGACTCCATGCTGGACGATATCGAAATTTCCTGTCCCTTAACTTCAACCGCTAGGCGGCACAAGTGGCCTGTGGTGCGGCGTCGCTCGCCACGACCACCAGAGTGGTATATTACGATTGTCTTGTCACATATCCGTGACCACTACGCCATTTCTGTACAACGTTTACAATCAATAAACAACACGACATAATTGGTTCATTTGCACCGTGAGATTTCGCCCAGATCTTGGGATATCCAATGGAAATTATACAAATTGTGGAAGAAAATTGCCGAGCATTTAAAACCACACAATTACCGAGTGCTACTTGATATCAAACATGCACATACACGCATTATTAGTTCAATAAGTGCTTAAAACAAAATGGACCGAGGTCAGGGAGATCAGACACAATAAATTACCGCTCTCAAAAGCGATGCAGCGTGAAACGACAGATTCACATTGAATATTGTTAATAGTGAAGAAACTAAAAGGGTAAACAACATGTACAAGGGAATGAGAGTACATCATTAAAATGACAGCTGAACGAAAAAAGACTTATTTCTTTGGTCGGCCAATCTTCTTGCCGGACGCCGTCTTCGAAGGTGTCGAACCGCCGGCTTCTGCAAAATCAACTGTTTGAGACTGTTAAACTGCCCAAAGGAAGAAAAACGCAGTCCAGTCATCAAAGCAGGTGGCCGACTATTAACTGTTTGCGTAATTCCATGAGCCAGAAGGAACATGGGCGACAGAACTGCCATTTACTTCATTGGTTTACTTCATCCTGTACCTCGGCGCGACAGGGTTAGGAGGGGGAGAGCATTTTTCACTTTTGGTGCTTCACTAATTCAGGTTTACACCCGTCACTGTGGTGAAATCTGGAGCACCTTGTCACGGGCGTCGGGCGATTTCTTCCAACGAATATGGTATTCGTGTTTAGAAGGTCAAACCACCACTGGAGTGCAATCTCAAGAGAAATCGGACCTGTGACTTGAATTTCGAAAACTGGGGCAGTGAGGGGACAACGTCAATGTATTTTTAACTTCCATTTTCCTTCCCATCCAACCACCCTATATAGCGGCTGGGAATAGAACACTTCCAGAGCTTATTAAAATATGGAAATCCGTCATGAAAAATTAAAAAAGAAGTTATGATAGATCTGCACACATTTTTGACCACTATTCTATGTTCTCGCCTCAGCTACGCAACCCTTTACCGCCAAAAAAATGTGAATTTGGGTGTATATAGCCACTGTATTGTCCAAAATCTATCCGAACCATACCTGAAGGGGCACTGGCTTTGTCCTTTGCATCCTTCTTCGTGCGATGTTTCACCTCAGTTTCTCCCATTTCTTTTTCAATCAATGTGATCAATGTATTACAACGACGCTGCAGTTCCTGAACAGACGAGAATAACGCTACAACAACAGATTGGTTTTCAAGGGTAACAGCAATCAAATACCATGGCAGTTCTGCTCTTTGATGAACCAGTCGAACCGAAACTGTGGAGCCATTCGTACCGACTGTCTTAGTTCTTCGTACACGGTCTCCTTGTCAAAGCCTAGTCGGTGCAGCTCACATACAAGGAACCTAAAGATTCACATATAAGCACATTTGTAAATTCTTTACCGCAGGTCGCTGCCGGTAATACAAGAAAAGCAAAAAAACACGACTCGTCCTCTTGCAGTCATTACATTCAGTAATCACCCACTTCACCCACTATATATAATTTGTTTCGTCTGCTTATTTGTTTGTTTGTTTGTCTGTCCGGAAATTCGGTTCGACCTGAAGAACAACTTGGAGAGGTCGGGTCAAGGTGGGGATGGGTAGGGCATGGGACAAGATGTAAAGAGCACACATGACCTATGCGAAGCCCCGCCCACAGTGGGCGGGGCATGCGCCGAAAGTTGGCGGTGCCGCAGAAAAAACTCATAACTCGCTTCCAGAGCAGCCCAGATGGGGAAAAAGTGGAATAAGGTTAGCAAGGGGTTGTCAGACTAATTAGGGGAGGCATTCCCCAATGGGCGGGGCGTACTCGAGATAGGCGGTGCTTCTCACAAAATTCATGACTCGCTTCCTTAGAGAGTTTAGAAATCGCAAGCGTCGATGTAGGAGGGTAACATCGGGGTGTTTATGCCTAACGTGCGCTGAGACCCGCCCACAGTGGACAGAGCCTGCCCTCAATAATATGGTGCCCGTTTTTTTAGCTTATTATGTATAATGAATATGCCCATTCGATTACCAAAGGTCTGAGCTTTTATGACCCATTCATTCATGAAACGCGTACAACAAAATTAGAATGGTAATAATCAAGTAAGCTATGCGAAACCACACACCTGTCTTCTTCTTCAGTGTACGTCTTTCCTTTGTTAGTACCATATGCAATGCGCAGCTGATGGAAGGGAGCCTTATACTTTGCGATTTTAGCATCCAAAGCCCGCTTCACAGACTGCCGCCGTTGAATTCGTGCTTCACCCTGAACAGGGGAATGCTTTAGGTGAGTAATGTTGTTACAGTGGCCTTATTCACTTCGAAAATCAAGATGAACGACTCACCTTCTCAATTTGGGCAAGAATTTTCTCATGATCTTGCAGTTCTTCAAACCGCTCCCAGAATATTTTTGCATAATATTCGACCTAAATGATATAGGTGACACATGTTGCTTTTTCTCACATTATAAAGGATAAAGAATAAAGGCTCCGCTGTTGATTAATCCCTTTTCGGGATGCGGCACGCATTCTACTTCCATTCAGAATCGTAGTGGCTTATTGAATGCGATGTGGCCTATGCTAATGCTTGCGGGGCCAGCCGATGTGCAAGGCAGTGTTTTGTCCTCCCAGTGGATCTGAAACAAAATTACCGTCCCCGGAGGATGTTGTCCTGGAAGGACTTCGTCCCCGGACCGCGCGCGTGGTAAGCGTGTCGCGTGCCATTACATCACCTCCGCCTCGTCACACATTATTCAACAGGCAAACGACATCGAGAAGCAGTCCATATGCAGCTCCCGCAAAAATGAACTTTATGTGCCGTTGGAAAACTCATGTGGCAAAAAGCTCGTCCTCAAATTAGCCAAAGATTGAGCACCAACACTCTGTACGAGCACTTACAGGTTGAGTAACATCTAAGACAAAAGTTTAGAGCAGCTCTTAGATGCATTCTTTATTTGATGACATTCCGCAAAAGAAGGTACGCAGCAAGGGCACCACTTTAACTCAACTTAAGGCTCTGCGCATTTTTTTATCATAATTTGAACATTTTTCGTGACCCGAAGTGATTTCATTTATAGGTAAACTTCATTTATTGCGAAAACCGTCCTTGAGCTGCCTACCTTGGCGCTTTGCAGTGAAATCCCAGATCGGATCTCGCCCAAGACAACCAAGCCTTCCACACTCTGGGGATGGTGAATTGGTGCCAGATGATCTGGGAGGACGAGAACACTGACTTCCACACTGGACGGCCCCATTGTTCTTCTATGGGCCACGCAGACAATAAGCCACCACGATTGTGAATGGAAGTGTAATTCGGGTCTCATCCCAAAAACGGAAGGATCGACGGCGAAGACTTAACTTAATCCCTCACCTTCCCCAATATTTTAGACAACAAATAACGAACCTCATCTCGAGACTTGGTCTCCATCATTTCATTTGCTATATTTTCGATATCATGACGACCATACTTCTCATTTGCCTTGAATAGTGGGAAATTTTGAACAGCAATACGTTTAGCGATAAAAGAAAACAAAATCATACTCTAACGAAAGCCGTGAAATCTCGTTTACTCCAGTTAGCCAGGCCTTGTGTGAGCAAGTCATTTTTCTCCTGCTGCTCTTCCTCCGTTAGCGGTTCTGCCTAAAAAACCAAAGTGTTCTTCTATGAAGTACAATACTAATCATTCTAATCGCGGAGTCTCTTCATCCAAGAACAACATCTTTCTCTATCGGATTCGAAATGCGCTAAGCCTACCGTATCAATAAGACGCTGCTCCTCCTTCTGACGCTTATCAGCCTCTTTTGGTCCACATTCCTTCGGCTTTTCTGCCTGAAACAGAAACAGAAATTGACATCATTTTTCCATAAATTACTGACGTTGAAACTTGTGAACTCTAAATTACGAGAAGGTTTCCTTGTAAAGTTATCATTTTATGATGAACAACGACATATAGGGAGTGAGAGTCAATCACTCAAAAAAAAGTCACGCTGTCGACTTGAGAAATCCAGGGAAGTAATCGTACTTATTATAAAAAGGATTACATAACTGGGACAATTCAGTAACCAAGAGGGAATCTCGATAAGATAAGCCTCGATGATCAACAAAGTACAGGAAACGTTTTGCTCTTGACGTCAGAGCCCGATGTGAGAGACAGAACTTTTGGCGCTGATCACCTTACCCTCTCAGATTGAGGGGGGGGGGGGGGGCGGTAGAAATTCTGATCTGGGGGAGTAAACTGGAAAAACTGAGTAAGGAATTCGAGTCCATCCGCTGAAATCCAACCGTCTTAAGAGAAAAATGGAGATTACCAGGAAAACAGTGGAAAAAGCACAACTGAAGTGACTCCGAGCAATTCTGTCTGCTTCTAGTTAATCGGCGGTGAGCAAATAATTAAAGCACATCTTCAAGCTATGCGGTGTGTTAGCGCAACTAAGAGAAAGAACTGCCACTTCTTAACAGTATCTCAGCTTCAAAACGCATCACCGAGTGCTAACTCATACCAAATATTCCGGACCTAACGACCGTCTACCTAAAAGGTATAGCTCTACGGACGACTACATTCCGCACTTCGTTTATAGGGAGGCATCACGATTTCTTTCATTTTATGAGATTATCGAATCGTAACTCCAAATTCTAATCTGTAAAACATCATTACGCATCAGAGCATTTGATTACGTCAGTAGTAAGGCTCTTATCAGCTACCTCAGCTCGTTGCCAGGCGACCGGCTCATCCTCAATTTTGTCGACCCCTTAAACAGATGAAGTAACGCCGTCCTAAGCAGGAAAGCGTTTCAGACATATCCACACTTCACCACAGTCGTCGTTCCCTCCATGGCAAGTGTATGTTCCGTGAGCACAGACCGCGAAGCATCCGAGACGACTCGAACTGTATTCGTTTGTGGATTTATTGCCAAGCGATGGCACAACAGGTAAGGCACCGACAATGCTCCACTAACTGCCGTTGAAATTCTTGTTACGGTTCTTGTAGTGCAGAACAGCCTATTTATAGATTCCAGGATTTAGAGAGTCACTCCCCAATTCTCGTGCGGAGTCTGCAACCTCTAACTTTCCTACAATTTCACAGAAGCCCCACTTTTATGTTCGGCCTTATAACTTGCAGGGAAAAGCGAGCCTAGAACCTATGAGTGAACAAGTTGGTATGAAAAAAAATGAAAATGAGATTTTGAAGAGTGCTTAGTCTCTCACGCGCTTCTATTATTAAGGAAAACCCACAGGAACCCTGCGAAAGAAGGAGGGCGCGTATCGCCATACTCCTTCGTTTGAAGACTCACTGAAGTATACTAGAGATAAAGACGGCAAAAGAATACGCTATCACACATTCGCAGTTAGGGTATAGTGAAAGTAATGGACGAAGGTAGGGTAGTGGCAAGTACTTTACTTGCCACGCACGCGGTCGGGGGGAGGGAGGGGCGGTCGGTGGGGAGATTCAACGTCATAGTGTCGGCCTCCACATCTAGGCATAAAGAAGCCTTTTAGGCTGCGTTTATACTTTGCGGCAGCGTAGCGTAGCGTAGCGTAGCGTAGCGCAGCGTAGCGTAGCGCTTCCAGCGTACGCCAGCGGCAGTGCCGAAGAGAGGATGCATATCGATCTAGCTTCACCAGCGTCACCAGCGGCACGCTAGCGTACGCTAGCGGCACGCTAGCGTACGCCAGCGTTTCTCCAGCGTTTCACCAGCGTTTTGCTAGCGTTTGCAGCGGCAGGGGAGTAGAGACTATGTGGCAGGCAGAGACGCGGAATCGACGCGTATTGTAGAGACTATGGGGCCGTCGAAGACGCAGAAGCGATGTGCATTGTAGAAGAGCTAAAGGGCCGTCAGAAGACGGCCCCGAGAAGCGATGTGCATTGTGCAGACTAAGGGCGAGTGAGATACGCGCAATCGATGTGCTTTGTACCCTCCAGCTCTCCCATAGTCTCTACTCCCTGCCGCTGCAAACGCTAGCAAAACGCTGGTGAAACGCTGGAGAAACGCTGGCGTACGCTAGCGTGCCGCTAGCGTACGCTAGCGTGCCGCTGGTGACGCTGGTGAAGCTAGATCGATATGCATCCTCTCTTCCCCCACGCTCTTCGGCACTGCCGCTGGCGTACGCTGGAAGCGCTACGCTACGCTGCGCTACGCTACGCTACGCTGCCGCAAAGTATAAACGCAGCCTCTCTATCTTGGC